ATAAAATTGCAGTAGAGTGGTCAAGTAGTTTTGAGAATTTCTAATTATTTATCCCAAAACACCTGTTTTCCGGCCGTCACTACTAGTTTAATGAGCAATAAACAGGGTTAGTTGAAAGGGTATTTTATAGCAAAATACACTAGTTTACCTTGCCGATATGAATTTCGGAAGATAAATGTTATTTTTATGCAAAAAGGATGGGTTACGTATTTTCTTCTAAACAGCTTCAAACATTTCGTATTTGTGAGTAATTCGCAACAAAAGATGATAGACACATCCGCTTTGTTTTCAAATGAGTATAATAACGTATGTTTTTCTATATCGTAGCGCACTTGTTCAATTACTCACAAATACGAAATGCTTGAATTTGTTTAGAAGAAAAAAAAACGTAACCTATGCCGTATAAAAATAACATTTACCTTTCGAAATGGTTTATGACTCATATCGGCAAGGTAAACACGTGTATTTTGCTACAAAATGCCCTTTGAACGCCCTGAACCCTGTGTATTGCTTAAAAATAAGTGATGGCCGGAAAACAGCCCAACTAACAATTATCACTCCTATTAGAGTTGCAAGAATGGTTATACAGTATTCCTTACACAGCACTGTATACTGTAAGAACATTGCCAAAACCCTCTTAGAACACCTATACAAGCGGAATGGGCACACCTAATAGGACACTTCAGTCATTTAAGAGGTTGTATAAAGGCTGCAGGTAACGTCAGTTATACAACAAAAGTGTAAGCCTCTTGCAGCCGCCATAGGACATTTGCGTCTGTGCAAGATTCAGTTTTTGTCAACTATACAACTATTCGGTTACGTTATTCTATATTATTGCAACCAAATTTCTTATGTATTGTATAGACGAAGTGAAGAATATACAACTAACACATTACAGTCATCTTGTTTACTTACATATCGGCCATTGTAAATTTCATACACAGGTATATAATAAACTTCTACACTGATATAGGGCTATTGAATTACTTGCACAGCAGATTTTATTGTGATTATCGTGCAAAGTAGTTACGCAATTTCTACGGGCTTCGTATTTGATTCATATTTGATAATGATCAAAAGTATGTCTAGATTTTTGAGATGGGAAACTGAACTTATCTGCGTTAAATCTTCCACAAATCCTATATTTAGACACAATTACACTAATGTTTATCACTTTATATCTGTAATTTCGAACTGAAACATAATTATTTAATATTAAATAGAGGAATACATGTTTGCCCAATATGGCGGGTGGTTGTGCATAATCATGGCATCGTCCATGTTGTCTTTAGTTTATTAGAATATTTTGGTGTTACCTGCAGGTGTTATACAACAATTTGACAAATGTCTGAAATGAAATACCGACAGAGTCGAATGATTTACCCAGAATCCATATCTTCTGTTTGAACAGTTGATAAAACCTTTTGAAGCAATATGCATGCGTTGTTTGTCTTAAAACATTGGTTATGGCATTTTAACAAAAATATGACAGCAGAAAGTTAGGTTATGGTGAAGTTGTATACCAACATATTTAGCATATGTACAGCCTTTAACAGTTACTAAACAACAGTTGTATAAGTGCTTCCGTTGGGAGCAATTTGTTGGATAAGGTAGTAAATTGCACAGCAAAACGACAAGGCTCCGGTTAGTTTTATAAACGTTACCATGGATGCCATAACACAACCATTTTGACTAACGTGCAAATATGCCGTATAAAATAGTTGTATAAACGTTTATGCAACAGTTAAAAATTTGCCCTATAAGGTGTTGTATAACTATGGTATAAGAATATTTTAAACACCTCATTTTAGAGCAAATATGTTGCAGAAAGCAAATTTGCATTCCACACAACATTAAGCCAGCATTTTGGTGTTCAGGCAACAACAATAGAGATATTTTATGGTTGAACGGTTCTTTTACCAAAAGCTTATAACACTACTTTGCTAGTTGGGAGGTGTTCTGGGATAAACAATTAGAAATTCCCAAAAAACTCCTTGACAAATATAATTCAATTTTGTTGTTGTTATTTAGAAGTATGAATTCTACAGATTTGGAGAATTTCAAGTAGCTGCGTGAAATTATCGTCGCATTACCAACAATTGCTAAAACCTGCATTTTGCCTCGTTTTCCCGCCATAACATTTTTGCTATAAGTCGGATCTTTTTACGTGTGGTCTCATTTTGTAGGTCTCATAAATACCTAAAAATCTTATATGAAAAGTTTTTTCGTTGCTGTCAACACTTTCGATTTAATCCAAAAAACACGTTTCCTCATTCTTTGTTGTCAAATAAAAAGTTTTCCCACACTACTCATTTTATGCGTCCATGTTTTAAATACCCCCTTGAACAACTTGCACCAATAAAACCAGACTTTACAATTATTTCGGGGACATTTGCTAATATGATTAGACTAATATATTGCCAGGCCTCAAAGACAAACATTTGTTTTTCATTAAGGTTATTCAAAAAACATGAAGATACTTCCTTGACTATTACCAGAGGTGGAAAAAGAATGGTAGCACCCAACTGGCAGGTAGCATTTCGGCCACCGCGGAAGAATTTGTTTTTTTCGACGAAGTGGCTCTTCTACTGGTAACTCTATATAGGTACTTTGGTTCTAATTAGCTTAGGTAGCTCAAAAATCGTGTCTAGCTGTCGCTGTGCCCCTGCATTTCGATTTTTGCCTACGCGGCTGCCTCGTCATATACAGGGTGTTTCAGTTTATTGTTGCATAACTTCAAGATTCGATAGAACTTTTAAAATTAATGCAAAAAGTCTATATAAACATGGGTCGAAAAATGCGTGGCTTCCCAAATACAGGGTGTTTAAAATTACTTTCTAAAATAGTTTTTTTTAAATATTTTGAACAATATTTGATGTATAACAGTGAAAATTGGTATACAAGGGTTTTTTGGTACGACAAAACGAACCATGGGCATAGTTTTACTGTAGCCGCTAGAGGGCGCTCTCTACTGTACCTGTAGTGTATTAAAATGACCTAAAATGATTCTTCGCACTTTTCAACATAAAAAGCTCTCTTGTGAATTTTCGTTATAGTTAGCCGTGTTTGAGATATTTCGATTTTTAAGGTTCGATGCATTTTTAATTATTTATGGGAAAATAACGTTAAAAAGTCAGTATCTCTATAATTTTTGGAAGTAGGCTGTGCCTGCAAATATTTTTGAAATTGAAAGCAGAATAAGGTTAAACGTCAATTAGTTGACAGTTAGTTTTGTTGTCTGTTGAAACCTGAAACGTTTTTTCGCAATTGTGAATGCACGAAATTTAGTTTCTTTTACCAGTTTTTTTTTGTAAGTTTTATAAAAATGCCATTTTTATTCTCCAATCAAGAGTTAGCGGATATTCATTTTGTGTAAAGCTTTGTAAATGGAAACGCAGCAGAAGCAGCCAGAGAATACGCACGAAGATTTCCAAAACAGACGACATCCAACTCGCTCAGTATTTGTAAGAGTGCATCGCAAAATAGTTGAAAATGGTTTTGGAAATCTCCAAAGGGATCAAAACATAAATGTTCGTCAGCGCAGATTACCCCGTATGATTCTGCGTGAGTTTGATAGAGATCCGACCACAAGTGTTAGGAGAGTTTCTGGTGCCTTGGGAATTCCAGCAAGCCATGTTCACCGTGTTCTTAGAAATGACCATAGACGTCCTTACCATTTGCAACCTGTGCAAGGACTACAGCCAGGGGACGGAGAACGAAGAATCACATTTTGTCAGTGGATTCTTGATAGAACTGATAATAATAGGGAGTTTTTAAGTAACGTTTTATGGACCGATGAGTCATGCTTCACTAGACGTGGAGTGGTAAATTTTCATAATCAACATATTTGGTCGCATGAAAATCCGCATGCAGTTCGGGAAAGAAATTTTTAGCATTAATTTAGTGTGAACGTGTGGTTTGGTATCTACCGTAATCGACTATTTGGACCCTACCTTTTGCCTGCAAGGTTAAATGCTGCGACCTTTTTGGAATTTTTAAAGGCTGAACATGCAAATATGTGGGATGATGTTATGTTAGATTTAAGAACATTGGCCTGGTTCCAGATTGATGGTTGTCCAGCTCATTATTCGCGAATAGTTAGAAACTGGCTGGACGAAAATTATCCAGAAAGATAGATCGGCCCTGGAGGACCAGTCGCCTGGCCTCCACGATCCCCTGACCTAAATCCATTAGATTTCTTTGTGTGGGGATTTCTAGAAGAAAAAGTGTACCAGACTCCCGTAACCACAAGAGATATGCTAATAGACTGAATCAGGAATGCATGTGATGAAATAAAGCCTTATTTGAATAATGCTATACCACGTTCGATCATTCGTAGATGTGAATTCTGTATTGAACAATTGTGTTTATTTGGAGTTAGGAATTATTGCTGTGTTTAAAATCACAATCTAAACGATCATCTTAATTACTTATAATGCCCAAATCGAAACTGTAAAAAAAATATTATTTTCCCATAAATAATTAAAAATGCATCGAACCTTAAAAATCGAAATATGTCAAAAACGGCTAACTATAACGAAAACTCACAGGAGAGCTTTTTTATGCAAAAAAGTGCGAAGAATCAGTTTTTTTATTCAAAAAGCAAAAAATTGCACTAAGGAAAAATTTTCTGTCATTTTAATACACTACAGGTACAGTAGAGAGCGCCCTCTAGCGGCTATAGTAAAACTATGCCCATGGTTCGTTTTGTCGTACCAAAAAACCCTTGTATACCAATTTTCACTGTTATACATCAAATATTGTTCGAAATATTTTAAAAAAACTATTTAACTATTTTAAAAAGAAAATTTGAACACCCTGTATTTCGGAAGCCACGCATTTTTCGACCCATGATTATATAGACTTCATGCAGTAATTTTAAAAGTTCTATCGAAGCTTAAAGTTATGCAACAATAAACTGAAACACCCTGTATAAAAAAAAACTGGAAGGTAATCATATTTACCGGAAATTCTTATTTCGTTATTAACCTTGTATATTGGTGAAACTTAGCTGCATATTAAAGTCGTTAATTCCTTTTATATTAATTCAAACAGACTCGTCATATGGCATAATTTTCAAAGTTCGTTGTCGCATTATGCGACGTCAATATCGCACACAATGCTGCAACAATGCCCGTGGTCGTGTTATACACCCAATAGGCGTGAAGAAAGTCTTCTGGCTGTCAGCGGTACCAGTTGAACCATCATCGAGGAGGAGAAGAAGAACGAAAGTGACGTTGGTAACCAGTCGAGCGGTGAAGCCGGCCAAGTGAGTACCAGTGCGTTTCAAAATGGCCGCCGCATCAGTTAAAATGACGAACGTTTCCGGGGTGAGGTGGTACTACCATTGCTTGATGATCGTGCTGTTTCTGTTGGTGGCGAGTTTCGATACAGGTGGGTGATTCTAGCTCGGTACGCAATCTGCGGGATAATGCTGGTGATATGGTACGACATGACGAAATCGAGGATGAAAGTGTGCGAAAGAAAGTGATCGCTCTGCTTAAACAGTCTTTTGTGTTTCATGGATTTTGATTATAAATAATGTTCGAAGCTTCAATGAAAATCTATTTAAAATTAGATTTACTATCTTCTTCAATGCAGGGTATAAAATATTATAAACGGAAGATATCGGGCTCATCCAAATAGCAGAAAACGCCCAAAATCGGACCCTCATTTTGTAAATGGCTTTTGAAATATATGAAAAGTATCATTGAAACCCAATTCACTTTACACTTTTATAAATTATAACTGAACATTATCGAGAAGAACATAATTTCAGAAACCGGTCCTGCAGTAAAAGTTGTTAATTAGCAAGAAGATTTTATTCTTAACAAGGATACAGAATATGTTTACGACAGATACATAGTTTTTAATTCCCAAGCAATGAAAACTGGAGACGTACACTTTTTCTGCTTCCTATCTTCTTCCATTCCATCTTCTTATTTTCAAAGACAGCAATAGGTTTAGCCATTCCAGAAATGCTCCATATTTCTTTTTATTAGCTTTTCCCATTATCCTTTTTGATCTTGAAAAAGAATTTCAAAAGAATGAAACAATTTTATAGGAACGACCGATAAAAATATGTAGGAATAATAATAAAAATTGCTGCCCTGCACAAAAACTTTTTCCATTATCAAAACACAAGTTCTGGACTGGTGAAACCTTTAGTGCTGGGACAATTTTGAAGTTGAGTTCGAAAAACCACATCTTGTGGAGAGTAGAAGTACCATAAAATATAGGACTATACAGGGTGTTTCAGTTTATTGTTGCATAACTTTACGATTCGATAGAACTTTTAAAATTAATATATAAAGTCTATATAAACATGGGTCGAAAAATGCGTGGCTTCCGAAATACAGGGTGTTTAAATTTACTTTTTAAAATAGTTTTTTTAAAATATTTCGAACAATATTTGATCTATAACAGTGAAAATTGGTATACAAGGGTTTGGTTTGGGCATAGTTATACTGTAGCCGCTAGAGGGCGCTGTCTACTGTACCTGTAGTGTATTAAAATAACCGCAAATTTTTTGCTTTTTGAATAAAACAACTGATTCTTTGCACTTTTCAACATGAAAAAGCTCTCTTGTGAATTTTCGTTATAGTTAGCCGTTTTTGAGATATTTCGATTTGTAAGGTTCGATGCATTTTTAATTACTTATGATAAAATAACGTTAAAAAGTCAGTATCTCGATAATTTTTAGAAGTAGGCTGTGCCTGCAAATATTTTTGAAATTGTAAGCAGAATAAGGTTAAACGTCAATTAGTTGACAGTTGGTTTTGTTATCTGTTGAAACCTGAAACGTTTTTTGCAATTGTGAATGCACGAAATTTAGTTTCTTTTACCTGTTTTTTTTTTGTAAGTTTTATAAAAATGCCATTTTTATTCTCCAATCAAGAGTTAGCGGATATTCATTTTGTGTATGGCTTTGTAAATGGAAACGCAGCAGAAGCAGCCAGATAATACGCACGAAGATTTCCAAACAGACGACATCCAGCTCGCTCAGTATTTGTGAGAGTGCATCGCCAAATAATTGAAAATGGTTTTGGAAATCTCCAAAGGGATCAAAACATAAATGTTCGCCAGCGCAGATTTACCAATATGCTTCTGCGTGAGTTTGATAGAGATCCGACCATAAGTGTTAGGAGAGTTTCTGGTGCCTTGGGAATTTCAGCAAGCCATGTTCACGGTGAGATGACCATAGACGTCCTTACCATTTGCAACCTGTGCAAGGACTACAGCCAGGGGACGGAGAATGAAGAATCACATTTTGTCAGTGGATTCTTGATAGAACTGATAATAATAGGGAGTTTTTAAGTAACGTTTTATGGACCGATGAGTCATGCTTCACTAGACGTGGAGTGGCAAATTTTCACCGTACCGTAATCGACTATTTGGACCCTACCTTTTGCCTGCAAGGTTAAATACCTTCTTGGAATTTTTAAAGGCTGAACATGCAAATATGTGGGATGATGTTATGTTAGATTTAAGAAGATTGGCCTAGTTCCAGCTTGATGGTTGTCCAGCTCATTATTCGAGAATAGTTAGAAACTGGCTGGACGAAAATTATCCAGAAAGATGGATCGGCCGTGGAGGACCAGTCGCCTGGCCTCCACGATCGCCTGACCTAAATCCATTAGATTTCTTTGTGTGGGGATTTCTAAAAGAAAAAGTGTACCAGACTCCCGTAACCACAAGAGATATGCTAATAGACTGAATCAGGAATGCATGTGATGAGATAAAACCTTATTTAAATAATGCTATACCACGTTCGATCATTCGTAGATGTGAATTGTGTATTGAACAATTGGGTTTACATTTCGAGCAAATACTTTAGATTTTGTATGTTTGTCCTAACTATCCAATAGCATTTTAGTTGTAAATAATTAATTTAATTTGTTAAAAATAATATTGGAAAATTAAACAAATTAATATTCTGTTTTTTTTGTGTTTATTTGGAGTTAGGAATTATTGCTGTGTTTAAAAACACAATCTAAACGATCATCTTAATTACTTGTAATGCCCAAATCGAAAATGTAAAAAAAAAAATTATTTTCCCATAAATAACTAAAAATGCATCGAAGCTTAAAAATCGAAATATCTCAAAAACGGCTAGCTATAACGAAAACTCACAGGAGAGCTTTTTTATGCAGAAAAGTGCGAAGAATCAGTTTTTTTATTCAAAAAGCAAAAAATTGCACTAAGAAAAAATTGTTGGTCATTTTAATACACTACAGGTACAGTAGAGAGCGCCCTCTAGCGGCTACAGTAAAACTATGGTTCATTTTGTCGTACCAAAAAACCCTTGTATACCAATTTTCACTGTTATATATCAAATATTGTTCGAAATATTTAAAAAAAAACTATTTTAAAAAGTAAATTTAAACACCCTGTATTTCGGAAGCCACGCATTTTTCGACCCATGTATATATAAACTTTATGCATTAATTTTAAAAGTTCTATCGAATCTTAAAGTTATGCAACAATAAACTGAAACACCCTGTATAAAAATGGGGTAGAGGTCCAAGAGATTATTTGCTGGACGATAAGAGTCCGAACACATAGGTGCTTTATTAATTCTTGATAAAAGAAATTGGGAAGAATTCACCTATCACAGGGTGTTATTGATGCGCGTGATGTTCCATGTTGTATACAGAGTGTACATTTGAAAACTTTACACGCCGGATTTATCGGAAACCACTGATTAAAAGAAAAAACGCTGAGACACGTCAAAAGATTTGTCAATGGGGACAGCTTTTTAACCAAAAACTACATCATCCCCCTTCACCCTCGACCCTCCAGGGTCATTTCCTTGAAAATTTTAAATGACAAAGGGTATCGAGTAATAGCTGTTTTGAAAGTCCTTTATTCTGACTAAATCGATTCGTTTTCGATTTTTTTCTTTTCATCAACACATTTATACTGGCGAACTATATTTATTGTTATACCTGTTTATTTATTTGTTGCTAAGGGAAAGAAATAATTTAATTTGCTGTCAGTTACCTTTGTAACAATCTAGTGAGTTTATTGATTCAGATTTTACTTCCAAAAATTCCAAAATGGTTTGTTTACACACTAGCCACGTGATCGTCGGAGAATTTTGGATGAAGCCACTCAAGTTGAAGTTTTGGGTCAATTTAGAATAAATCATAATATTTGATTACGCAAAATTGTTGCTGCGACTGGCATTTGATTAGGCTCTGTACTCACAGTTACTAAACTCCATACATTTCATCCATTCAAAATGAAAATATTGCAAGAGTAAGATGATTTCGATAGGCGAGTTGAATTTTGTGAACTGTATCGATTAATGATAATATGTACTATTCATGTAAAGAATATCTGCTTTAGTGATGAATGCATATTATACCTAATGGATTTGTTAATACCTAAGCATAACTGCAGGTATTGGAGCAATAAAAATCCTCATGCTTTTGTAGAAGGGCATACCCAGTACCCCCAAAAAATTAATGTATGGGCAGGCATTTTAGGAAACAAAGTGATTGACCCAAATTTGAATGGAGACATGGATGTGTTGGAAAATACCATCAATCCGCTTATCACTGAAACCAGTGAAAACCAAATATACTTGATAAAGCAAAGGCTAGCCGACGAGTTTCCAGATAAATGGATAGGGCGAAGAGGGCCTATAGAATGGCCTGCTATATCTCCTGATTTGACGCCATTAGACTTTTTTCTATGGAGCCATTTGAAATCTATTGTGTTTACTCCACAACCTGAAGGTTTGCATGAACTTCGTCAACGCATCATCGAAAGCTGATATTCCACAACATGTTTTTGAAAATGTCCGTCAGGAATTTGAACATCGCCTATATCATTGTTTGGCCAATAACGCGCAACATTTTGAACACTTATTGAAATAAAGTGATATTTTCGTATGTGTTGTTTTTTGTCTGAACAAATTAATATAAATAAAGATGTTTCTAATGTTCTTACTTAACTGAAGAAAAAAATAATCATGCAATGACAAAATGCAGCAGCTTTTCAACTAAACCCATAAAAATAAAAAGCAATACAAAATAGAACGTATGAGAACATCGCCGATATTATTTTTATAAATGCACAACTCATGCAAAAAAAAAACAAGACGACTTAAAAATAAGCATACTGCGGTACTATCCTTCAAAACGTAGCGAGCTTTTGTTATATCTTAGGTCCTTGTTCGTGCAGGAGATCAGCTTTTAATCTTTTTTTTTAATTATACAGGCTTAGATTTTTTAAACCTTCTACCAAGATGTTATATAGTTTCGCAGCATTGTATGAATAACTGCGGTTAAACAGAGCCGATAAATGTTTTGGAATAACCAAAAGATGTTTATTGCGAGTTGCTATATTAACAGGCAGTCTGGTAGGTTTATTGGATAAATAAGTAG